ACAATACGAAACATACAATCCGAAACATACAATCCGAAACATACCATCCGAAACATACAATCCGTAACATACAACCGAAACTCACAATCCTCAATACAATCAGAACTTCTTTTTAATAATTGTCCCTGAAGCATCTGAAACTTTCCGGGGGGGAGCGCACTTAAAATTTTTAGGGGGTGGGGGGAGTACACTGGTTAAAGTATATTTTCTATATAAATGATTTTTTTTCTATTCGGCGACGGGGAGGGGGGCGGTGTACGTTCATGGGGAGGGAGGGGGTGGTGTACGTTCATGGGGAGGGAGGAGGGTGGTGTACGTTCATGGGGAGGGAGGAGGGTGGTGTACGTTCATAGGGAGGGAGGGGGTGGTGTACGTTCATGGGGAGGGAGGAGGGTGGTGTACGTTCATGGGGAGGGAGGGGGTGGTGTACGTTCATGGGGAGGGAGGGGGTGGTGTACGTACATGGGGAGGGAGGGGGTGGTGTACGTTCATGGGGAGGGAGGAGGGTGGTGTACGTTCATAGGGAGGGAGGGGGTGGTGTACGTTCATGGGGAGGGAGGAGGGTGGTGTACGTTCATGGGGAGGGAGGGGGGTGGTGTACGTACATGGGGAGGGAGGGGTGGTGAACGTTCATGGGGAGGGAGGGGTGGTGAACGTTCATGGGGAGGGAGGGGGTGGTGTACGTACATGGGGAGGGAGGGGTGGTGTACGTACATGGGGAGGGAGGGGGTGGTGTACGTACATGGGGAGGGAGGAGGGTGGTGTACGTTCATGGGGAGGGAGGGGTGGTGTACGTTCATGGGGAGGGAGGGGTGGTGTACGTTCATGGGGAGGGAGGGGTGGTGGTGAACGTTCATGGGGAGGGAGGGGTGGTGAACGTTCATGGGGAGGGAGGGGGTGGTGTACGTACATGGGGAGGGAGGGGTGGTGTACGTTCATGGGGAGGGAGGGGTGGTGTACGTTCATGGGGAGGGAGGGGTGGTGTACGTTCATGGGGAGGGAGGGGTGGTGGTGAACGTTCATGGGGAGTGAGGGGGTTGCAGTGCCTGACAGAAACTCGGATTAAATATCCGATATGCACAATATTGACAAACACATTGAAAATCATCCGAAATCTTCAGCCCAAGAAATAACATCCGAGTTGTAAAATATCCACACACAAAAATTAAGTCAGAAATGAATGAGGCTTTGCTGAGAAAAAAAAAACAAGGTGGGAAAAAAACATTAACCTGTTTTCTACATTACAAAACAAAAAAAACATATTTTTTTACAGAGGAAATATCTTTTTTTAATAGATAAGGTCTAGCCAACTCTATCTACACATTTTAAAAATATGATAAATGATTTTTTTATATTTTAAACATTTTTCATCCATTTTTTTAATCAGTTTTTTTTTATTTCTTAAAAGCTTATATATTCCTTTACCCTGTCTTAGACTGAAATTTGAAACGAAAGTATCGAAATGTGTAGAAAATCAGAAAATATTTTTTTTATTTTTTTTTTAAATTTCAGTCTACCGGCTCTGTAGTGTTTAGGTCTACATTACATCCATCTACACACAACCTATTTCTCTTTCCGTTTCGTTTCGTATCTTTTACCGTACTGTAATTTTTTACATCGGTGAATGTTTGCATTAAAAATTGAATTCTTGGTTTTAAATATAAGAATATCACACGTGTATAATCTTTAAGCCATATCCTGTAAAAAAAATTATCTTAAAAAATATTTAATAAACTATATTTAGCTACAAATTATCTCTCTAACTGATTTATTTACAAATATACTAATATATTATAAACACACACATGTATATAGATTTTTAGGGATATGTTATATATATATATATATAAATATATATATATATATATATATATATATATATATATATATATATATATATATATAAATAAATATATATATATATATATATATATATATATATATATATATATATATATAACATATATATATATATATATAACATATATATATATATATATATATATATATATATATATATATATATATATATATATGCTTCTATATTCAACAACGGACTCTCCGTTTTTATATACCAAAATATGATGTAATGTTATTGTTTTCTTACGATCATTCCCACAGTTATTATAAGTTTTTTTTTTAAATTGTTATGCCGGCCTTTTAGCAGTCGGCCTTTAGTCGTGTCGGCCTTCTGTCCGGATCCCTTTAATTTACACCATACATGAAAAGATGAAAACGAGGCTTGTTAACTGAACACAATTCTAACGGAAATTATGAACGAGTTCTTTCGTTACAAGACCAATCAGGCGTTTCTTCACCGCGTACCATGTATGAGACATTGTATCCAAATAAAAATGAATTTACCATGTTCATGTGGTGTAAAACAAATTTGACTCTAACCTATATCGTGTCTTCCCACACTTTACAAAAATGGTCACAGAAGGTCAAAGGTTGTGACCTGATTTTTAGAAACCCGCTGCACGGATATTTAATTTTAACCTTTGCGTTTAAAATTTCCCGTTTGAATTTTATAATTCTCAGGAGCTTCGCGGAAAATTTAGTCGAATCTTGAGTCCAGTGCTGTGTGAGATTTTTTAGATTTATTCTTTATGCGATTTATGTAACAATCGCGCGAAAGAAACAATTTGAAAGACAAAATACACCACCATTTTGTAAACCCATCTCTATATTTTAACTATTAATTACATAAATAAATTCCTTTTTTTCACTCAAGTTACCTCCCGTCACACGCATTCATAAATCATTAACATTATCTACACGCTTACCTCCCATTTGGATCCTGAGTTACCGTTCCTGTTTATTTATATTATAGCAACTTATCTTTAATTTTTTAACTCATTTATATCTTTTGATATTTATTTAAAATTATCACCCTAGGTTGACTTGCGGCTGACTATGGAGAAAATAATAAAATTAGTTTAATTCTTCACGGCTGGGAACTTAAGTAGTATTCAAATTGCCAAGTAATATTCAGTCGTAGCAAATGAGCTAATTCTGTTGCCTCATAGGTACTCAGTGTTTCTTCCAGGGGGGGGGGGGGGGGGGGAGGGGCACTTGATATTTTCGGGGGGGGGGGGCGGTCAACACTTTCCGGGGGGTGGGGGCGGACTCTAATAAAAGTATATGTTTACTATATAAATTCCATCTCGTTCGGGGGGGGGGGGGGGCGGTAGACTTTCTTCCGGGGGGTGTGGGGCTCCGAAGATATGCCTGAAAGAAACTCTGTATGTACTGCGATACCAGTACATTTCCTGATACATCTGTCCTTGCTAATGGATATATGGGGACTTCGAGTTAATTTAACATAGTGGATAGGGGGAAATACGAGTTGATGTTATATAGTGGATAGAGGGAAATAAAAGTTGAATGTATCAAATAGATTCCTCTTTAGACCTAGCGATCGTTGGACAGATGAAGTAGAGTTCGTATTTTTCTTGGCCTCGGCATATGAAGGGATGATGTGGTTAACATTAGGGTCATGTGTAACGTGTGTTCATGTAAAGTGGTCAACATTAGGGTCATGTGTAACGTGTGTTCATGTAAAGTGGTCAACTCGGGAACGCGCTACAGTCAGAAGTCCGAACCGAGATCCGAACTCGCGAATTTCGGGCTAGCAACCAAACGTTTTACTGTTCGACCAAAGTTGAAGTTTAATATTTCCGATGTAAATAAAGGGTTGTTGACTAGTTTTTTTAAAATTCCGCAGTTCTCAGTTTTGTGTTTCGTTGTTTTATACAACTTTATTTTCTAAAATTTCACAATTCGCAATATTGTATTAATTTGTTTTCTGAAACTTAATTTTCTAAAATACCACAATGGTTTGAATAGTAACTTAGATATTTTTTGAACCACTTTTTACGTATTTTTATCTCACACGTTTCTGTAATATTTCTACACACCCCCTCTCCCCTTTCCCTCCCCCCCCCCCTCTCTCCCCTTCTGTATAGTTAAGCTTCTTCAAGTTTAGGGGAGATCACTCCCGGTTTATTTTAGAAAACTTTTCTTTTCTAAAATTCCGCCGTTCGCAGTGTTGTATTAAGTTGTTTTATAACAGTTCGCATTGCGTGTTAACCTTTTTTTATTGTTAAACTTTATTTTCTAACATTCCGCAGTTCGCAATGTTGTATTGAGTTGTTTACTAAAACTTAATATTCTAAAATACCACAATGGTTTAAATAGTATCTTGCCGCAGCTGGTTTCCACTTGAATAATTTTTAAACCACTGTTTACGTATTTTTATCACACACGTTTCTGTAATATTCTTACACACCCCCTCTTCCCCTTCCCTTCCCCACCCCCCTCCCCACTGTATAGTTAAACTTCTTCAAGTTTAGGGGAGATCACTCCCGGTTTATTTTAGAAAACTTTTCATTTCTAAAATTCCGCCGTTCGCAGTGTTGTATTAAGTTGTTTTATAACAGTTCGCATTGCGTGTTAACCTTTTTTTTTGTTTAACTTTATTTTCTAACATTCCGCAGTTCGCAATGTTGTATTCTAAAATACCACAATGGTTTGAATAGTAACTTGGCACATCTGGTTTCCGCTTGAATATTTTTTAAACCACTTTTACGTATTTTTATCACACACGTTTCTGTAATATTTTTACCCCCCCCCCCCCCCCTCTTCCCTTTCTCCCCATCTGTATAGTTAAGCTGCTTCAACTAGCAGCAGGGGGGCACACCGAAGTGTTACAGACAGAATTTACATCTTCAAAGACGGATTGTCTGACAGCTGACGCCTGCTTATCTGCCCTTAGATATCTAAAATAAAATTTGATTCTTAAAAAAAAAAATTTACTGCCTGACATCGTTTCGGTATAGATAATGCTTTACATAGAGTTTAAGCAGATGAATGCAGACTTCTCTTCACGCTCCAGCCCCCCACCCCCACCCCCAGCGTCGTTCGCCCGGTCGTGACGTCAACACGCCGACGATTGGCGGAGCTGCGTGAAGTGATGGCGTTAAAAAAAAAAAACTAAACCAAAATTCACTCACAGCGCTTCAAACTTTCAACGTTCAGATGTGGCTTTCATTTCATCGTGAGTACGTCTATACCGTTTTCCTGGGGTTTATTTTTAATTTCTTCTTTGTGGTTTTAAAACTTGCTTGGTTTGCCAGATTTTAAAATATTGTGTAGTCATAACAAAGTGTACATGTGTGTTGATTTATTTTTTTCATCAAAAGTGGATAGTAATTGAAATCTGAATAGTCGAGAAAGTGTTTTGAAAGTTAATATATAGAGTTCAAAGTTGTTTTTGCATTTCACGGACATGCACAACACATATCTATATGTGTGAGTTTGTCTGTATACGTTGTAATCACCGATTTTTTAAAACAGTAAAGTATTCTCTGAAGTTGGGTGTCGTAGTATAGGCCGATTAAATCCACAACATTAAATTTCAAATTAAATTTTTGCAAGGAAACTCTATTGTCTGATAGACCCGAAAACCATGGAGTACATAATTTAATTTAAATATTACATCAATTACACATACATACATACATACATACATATATATATATATATATATATATATATATATATATATATATATATATATATATATATATATATATATATTGATATAGATAATAACTATATGTACATACATAAGTATATGATTCTTATGTATACAGGTATCAACGTGAACAGCTATTATAAATATTGTTTATATCAACAATTATATTTATATATACATACTTAATTTTATTTATATATATATATGTATATTTATTTATTTATATTTATACATATAAACATATATACATATATATACGTAAATATACATACATACATATATATATATATATATATATATATATATATATATATATATATATATATATATATATATATATGGTATCCGACCACACATCAAAGAGAACCACATACATACATACATATATATATATATATATATATATATATATATATATATATATATATATATATATATATATATATATATATATATATATATATATATATATATATATATATATATATATATATATATGGTATCCGACCACACATCAAAGAGAACCACATGATAGCAGAAATTGTTAGCTCACAACACAACGAAGTCGGTCAGCTTGTAGCTGAGTGACATTGTTGCACCGCCTGGTGCTGTTCCTGTAACTTATCTCCGCTAGACATTAAAACCCTCATCCCCCAGCTCCTCATTCTGACGATAAAATTCGCTCGTGCCAGACGTTGTATTTGTGGATGCGTTCCCTAGGTAGTATTCAGGTAGCAGAGAAATACTCAATGGAATCTTGTGAACATGCTATAGCTATGATATATATATATATATATATATATATATATATATATATATATATATATATATATATATATATATATATATAAACATGCCTGTATATTTATTTAAGCCTATTATTCATTTATTTATTTACATCTCTCTCTCTCTCTCTCTCTCTCTATATATATATATATATATATATATATATATACGTATATGTATACGTATATACGTATATACGTTTATATATATTAGCTTATTTTAATGTATTTATTTACCACTTTATATATGTATATATATCGTATTTATATATATAATTTATATATATATATATATATATATATATATATACGTATATATATATATATTAGCTTATATTTATTTATTTATATTTGTATAGATATGCGTATGTAGATATTTTTTTTTATATATTTCATTATATATATATATATATATATATATATATATATATATATATATATATATATATATATATATATATATATATATACGTTTTTTATGTTTGTGTATTTCTTTCCTTCAGTTTGAATCCATAATTCACCATCATGTAAGAACTAAATACCGAGATGATGTGAGCCATACCCAAACACCCCGATGGCTATCCTAGGCCTGAAACAGTTCCCTGATGGTTAAACAAATGACAACAAACCGGATGAGGACGTGAGTGTCCTGATTTAACCAAGGTAAGGAACACGTGTGCTTGTTTATATGTGTAATATTAGCTGTGTCCAATACCATTATTGCCAGATTTTTGTGGTAGAAGCTGCTAATTTCAATTTTTTTTTTAAATCAACTGAAAACCAAAAAATTATAGGGTTGTTTTTTTAACAAATAGAAACAATAAAAAATAACAGTTGAAAATAGATACTTTGCAATTCCACAGACGTGTTTTCTTTTCTATTATTATATTGTTGCCAGAATTTAATAATAGGCCTAAATAAATTCCCTTAATAATGAATGCCGGCGTGTATTAGACCACCCAGTCAGCTCATCTTTATTCAGCATCACGTGACACCACTGTAGTATGGCGCGTGGCGTTGAGCTGTTGAAATCGTCTGCTGTAACTTTAAACTGGTCATTTCTCCCCGACCGTAAATGTCAGTGTTAACCGGGTTGGGCTATGTCGGTGAGCGGGAATTTCCCCAAACTATAATTACATTTGGCGGTTGAAGTTTCAAGTGACTTTAGTGCAGACAAAAACATCTTGTCGGTTTACTATTACAAAGTCGTTGAGTGGCGCCTTGCTTAAGATGTTCGCAGGTAATTATGAGTCGTACATCACACAAATTGGCCAACCGATTTTCTGGAAAGATGATCTGCTGAAATTCGACGTCATATTTTTTTAAATAAATTTTCTGTTTGACCGATTTATAACTAGCCGTACCTGCGTCATCTCGCTTATACTGTCTAAATAAACAGTAGTAATTAATAGTAATTAAAATAATTAGCTATTGTCTAATACCCAGAGGCGTCGCGAGGCGGGGGTGGGGGTTGCGGACCGCACTGGGGGGGCCAATTGAGGAGGGGGGGGGGGGTGACACCAAGAAAGAAAAAAATGCAAAATGTATCGAACGAATATGCTTTTTGCCAGTTCAATGAATGATTAATCAGAGTTAAAACGTATTTTAGGTACAAACTGACGATCCCGATAAGGGGTGAGGAAAGGGAGGGTGACACCATGACATAAACCTACTAAACAAAAGAAAAAATAGTGCTACATCCAGCTATATTAATAGTCGACTATAGATAAACATTGTTACTATTAACTGTAAACCATTAAAAACTATCTCATATATATATATATATATATATATATATATATATATATATATATATATATATATATATATATATATATATATATATATATATGCTTTTTTACTTTGGTGGGGGTGACGCCATAAGTTACCGCACCGGGTGACACCCGACCTAGTGACGCCACTGCTTATACCGTCTTGTGATGAAATAGTGGTATATGTATAAATCGACTGCTAGCCCAAAAGTTCGAATCCGGGTTGAAGTCCGTACAACATCCCTGATTCCACCCAGCTCTAATGGGTACCTAACTCACGTTAGAGAAACTAAAGGCGGATGGGCATAGTGCTGACCACACCATCCCTTCACATCCCGAGGTCACAGAAACAAGTGGACTCTACTTCTCTTATCCTATGGACCATCAGGTTCGAAAAGGAACTTTACTTAGTTCACTTATAGACTATTTGTAAAAGTTCGTGAGTGTAGTACATACTACTTTTATATCTTCACACGCTTGCGTACAGTCCTTTTGCGACCGTGTAGTACTAATGGCCGTGACAAGCGCTATGACACAGCATACCGTTGACTGAAGCCCATATTACACGGTACACACCTCGGGCGTCGCAAATTGGCCGGCGGTATCTCTGAGAAACTCGGAACCCCATGTGAAACAGACCACGAGAAAGGTCAGGGGTCAAGCCATTGCCAGTGCAAAAAGTTAACCTTTGACACCGCCAAGGTCTATAGTGCCCCGTAACGAGGTGTGGGTCATGTGGAGTAACATTAGCAGCGCCGAGCACTGAATCTAGGTCTTTATAGACCTTAATGTGTTACTTGGGGTAAGATAAGATTCCAGATTTTTTATGTCTTTAGTGATGGGTATGTTTAATGGTACAAACTTAGGTCTTTATTGACCTTAATGTGTTATTTGGGGTAAGATTCAAGATCTTTAATGCCTCTAATGATGGGTTTGTTTGATAGTAAGAATCTCGATATTTTATGCCTTTAGTGACTTGTATGTTTAATAGTAAGAATCTCTATCTTTAATGCCTTTGATGATGGGTATGTTTAATGGTACAAACTTAGGTCTTTAGTGACCTTAATGTGTTATTTGGGATAAAACTCCAGATCTTTGATGCCTTTAATAATGGGTATGTTTAATACCAAGAATCTCTATCTTTTATGTCTTTAATGATGGGTATGTTTAATAGTAAGAATCTCTATCTTTTATGCCTTTAATGATGGGTATGTTAAATGGTAAGAACGCAAGTCTTTATTGACGTTAGTGTGTTATTTAGGGTAAGATTCAAGATCTTTAATGCCTTTAATGATGGGTATGTTTAATGGTAAGAACTTAGGTCTTTATTGAACATCATGATAAGTAGGTGTTATTTGGGATAAGACTCCAAATCTTCAATGCCTTCAATGATATGTATGTTTAATGGTACGAATCCAGTTATTTATTGCCCTAAATGATGTATGTTTAAAGGTACGAATCCAGGTCCTTGATGATAAGTAGGTGCCATTTGGGGTAAGATTCCAGATATTTATTACCCTTAATGATGTGTATGTTAAATGGTAAAAACTCAGGTCTTTATAGTCCTTAATGATGAGACTTTTAAATGGTAAGAATCCATGTCGTCAGTGTCCTTAATGGTGGTGATATTTAATAGTAAGAAACAAGGTCTTTACTGCCCTTAATGATAAGTAGGTAAAAATCCAGCTCTTTATAAAACTTAAGTGTGTTATTTGGGGTAAGATTGAGAGAGACACCCTGAATCCAAGAAGAATGGATCAACTAATTTTTTTTTAATTTCTAAAATTCTAAGTTAACAAAATGATTCCGTTTAAAATTGTTTTGCAATAAAAACTTTATTCCAAACTTTCAAAAATGTAGTTCTGTATGACGTAATAAATTACTTGTAATAATACGAATCTATTTTCTTTAAATTCTAATTTGACCGTAGAAATATTTATTGCTGTTACACGAATGCGATATTTTTTTCCCCATCTTAAAAGCCGTCTGACCTCATCAAATGTAAACGATAGTCGCGGCACTTATTAATTCTCTAGACAGTTTTCATTGGAATACATTCATTACGCGCGTCAGGTTTAATTATTACTATATTAATAAAAACGACATATTTTTAACTTTTTACCTTTTGTTTTCCATGAAATATTAAAGTTGATATTTCAAATCAAAAATTAACGTTTGACTGCCATCATTTCAGCCTGTGTACAGTGATTTGGGTTTGGCTGGGTCAGTTTAGAATAGAATTTAGTTGGCATGGGCGTTATTAGACTAAGTGGCATAGACAGTGGTAAACCATTTATCGCTTTTGAATCTCCTTTACATATTTGCCTGAGTACGCTAATTGAAAGTATATAATAATATATATATATATATATATATATATATATATATATATATATATATATATATATATATATATATATATATATATATATATATATATATATATATATATATATATATATATATATATATATATGTGTGTGTGTGTGTGTGTGTGTGTGGTGTGTGTGTGTGTGTATTATAGATTTTTATTATCTGTACAAACTTATTTACGTATATACACTCAGAAACATGTATCAATTGTACTTACTTATATATTGAAAAACATGTACGTGTATTTTGTTAGATAGCCTACATGCATATATATATATATATATATATATATATATATATATATATATATATATATATATATATATATATATATATATATATATTGCGAATGGTGTATAGGTACGCTTACATGTATGAATTATAAAACAAATGCGTGTGTGTTATAGTTGTTTTTTTTAAAGGATTATCAGTCTCAGTACGCCAGTTAATCTTATCTTGAAATAAATCGAGAAACGACTCATTTTCGACTCGTACTGCAGCTGCGAATCAAGCAGACAGCTTCAATTAAAGCACTTGTTGAGCAGGCGTGTGTTATTCTAGCCGACGTTTTGCAAGTGTAGAAATGTTTTTATTTTGTCTGGACCTTCTATCAGGCGAATATCGTCTGCTGCGCCGAGATTTGGTCTCTAATTGGACGTCTGACGGGCGGGTTTGGCCGTCTCGTGGTACGTCTGCCGCGAGTTCTCGCGAGTCCTTGGGAACGAGATTTGATGCGAGACTGGGTGAGACTTGGTGAGATGACGCGAGGGTTGATTCGAGATTTGACGTGAGACTTCGAGCTCGCGAGAATTCGTGTGAGATTTTGCGAGACTTTGTGCGAGACTGCTTGAGACTCAAGTGAGACTTGATGCGAGAAGTAATGCGAGAATGGATGCCTGGCCGTGAGTTGTTATGCGAGACTTAGTGAGAGATTTCGATACTTCATGCGAGACTTGATACGAGACTGTGTGAGACTTGACACGAGACTTTGTGACACTTAACGATATTTGAAACGAGACTGTGTGAGACTTAACGAGACTTTGTGAGATTTAACGAGATTTGATACAAGACTAAGACTTGATACGAGACTTTGTGAGACTTAACGATATTTGAAACGGGACTGTGAAACTTAACGAGACTTGAAATGAGACTGTGAGACTTGATGCGAGACTATGAGAATTCGTGTGAAACGACGAGAGTTGATGTGGCATTGCCTGTGACTTGGCGAAATTCGATGCGGCACATGACACGTAAAGTTTTTCTTTGCTGAAAAGTAAACACAACATAAAGCAGCCCGGTTTGTTTATAATATTTTTTTAATGTTTTCAATCTGTTTTGATTTTCATACATTTTCAATATAATAGTTCTTTATACACTTAGACTTAATCTTCTTATTTACCAAAGTAGCACACACACACACACTCACAGACACTCACAGACACTCACAAACACACACTCTCATTAACTCTCGCTCACTCACACACACACACTCACACATACCTTCACATACACTCACAC